TTGGAAAGTGTCTTTTTTCCAGGCCTTGGGTGTTGCTGCTACTGGTGGAATGGCTCTTTCAACTGCTCACCTTTGAAGACTCCATGGAGATCACAGGTTTATATATATTCGCACCTGTAGGTGCAGGCTTGGGTTTTGGTTGGGGTGTTTTGTTTTGTTTTGTTTAATACTTATTTTGCACCCATACAGATGGCAGTACAATAACTGAAGTATGCCAAAAGTGGACACAGGGGAAGTATGAGATGAAACTGCAATCTAGCTGGGTTCTGTCACTATGAAGCTGTCAGCTGAACAGCTTCGCATGATGGCCATGGTGAATGTGATAATGCAACTACACAGGGAAGAACATTTGGAAAAGAGGAAATGGCCAAGGAGGAGACAGGATTTTACACCAGTTGGCATGACTGTATTTCAGTGAAATACACACTTTCACGGAAATCTCCCTGGAAGTAAAGTATTGTACAGGGGAAAATGATGTGACCAAATATTGTGTGGGTGATACTGCCTCATGCAGTTACTAGCTTTAGTTAATATGTTCATATGAAAAGCAGCTGCTGTGTTTCATCCCTTCTCCTGTGCATACTGGTGAGGTTTGGGAATTGGTGGTTCCATAGATATATGAACTAACACGGCTCTGACAGTAGCTGACAATATAATAAACCACTTGTCAATTTAAAGAGTCTGAGAAGCTGCCCAACAACATCCCTTTATTGTAGTTTTACATCTCCCCCTTAAAAAAGAAAACCTATACATGGAGGAAGTATAATACTGGTATATAAGCACACATGACAAGACACTAAGTATCAGAGTTTCACCATATTGCTGCTAAGTGGAAAATATACAGTAATAGTATACAAGACTAAACCTTGTTGGCTGTAATGACAACAAGATTGCCATGCTTACGTTAAAAATCTGGGCTCATGCATCTGTTCTGAACAGGTTGAAACCCAAAGGTAGGAGGAACTGAGAAATGAATATTCTGGTTTTGTGTGTGAAGCGACTGGTTCAGACAGTACCAGATGAGGGATTTTTCCTCTCTGCTGGGCAGTGCCTCCTCTTTTGATGCCCCCTTCTGTACCTTCCTGTCACCACCTCTGCAAAACACTATTTCCATTTTGTAGAAGCAGCATTAGAGTCAAACTGATATGAATGGCCTTTTCCAAATGAAATAGCTTTATATCTGCAAAGGGACAAGTTGAAATAACCATGCTCCTCATTGTGTAGGTATGTTTGGAAAGAGGAATGGAATGATCTGATCAGATACCTTGTACAGTACAATTACGTGGGTCACGTAAGCCAGTTCTATCAGCCTGTGTAATAGGCTACTTCTCTGGCAAAATCCAGGCTACAGGTCATGTTAGGTGTGCCCACTAGGTCCTGATAGACCTCCTGCTTGGGCCCAAAAACAGAGATTGTCATAGACATAACAGGCAATACATGTTTGCAAGACTGCTTCAACTGGAATTGTCTGCAACTTCTATAAAATTTTAGTACAATATTAGGGACATATACAACCTAAGCGCATTATCCATGCTTATTATGTAAAGAATGGTCACCTGCTAGAATTTAATGACCTTTTGTGAACTCACCTGTGTTGTTAGGATCCTGGCAATCTTAAAATATTCATGAAGTTAAATAAAAAATAATCCCATGTGGATCCTTTACCTCACAGAAGACATTTTAAGGGGAAAGTGTTGTGCACAGGTACTATCAACTGGATATTTGCTCATGGATAATTCACAGCAGTTGGATGAAGGATATAAAATTCACTCCTAGTCAGGCACTAAGAGAAAATTGGTGCAAGATGTTTTTTCATTGGTATATTACATCAAAAGATATTGCAAAAATGGATAGGAATTATAATGGAAAGTGTTGGGAATGTAAAGAAGTGGGACTTATCATATGTGGTAGACCTGTAACAAAATTAAAGATTTTTATAAATAAATATATGCAGAAATACAGGAAAAATTGCAAATTAACTTTGGTAGGAATGCTAAGAATATGCTACTCGGTATTGTACCAGAAATTCTGCAAAGGAATATGGTAGAGTTATTTAAATACATGATTGCAGTAGGTAGATTTATACTTGCATCAAATGGAAAGCAGAAGATTAGAAAAATAAGCTAGCTGAATATGCAGTAATGGCAAAAATAACTAGTTACATAAATAGAAGACCGACTAAATAATTTAATGATAAATGGAAAGCTTATTATGTACAATTTATTTAGTAATGAAAATAGAGCTTGTAAAAATATCAATAGTGAGTTATAGTTTTAATATAAATGCTTTGTTGTCATTGCTGTATGAGTTTCCATGGATACCAGTTAACTGAGTGTAGAAGAGATAACAATTACTTTTGAGAATTTTTTTCAACTTGATATTGTATTTAATATACATGATCCCTTGGTATCCTTTTTCTTTTTTCTATATTCTACTTGTTTATGAAAATGATAATTCACAGCAGACAAGTAGGAGTGTGAAAAGGAGGTAATATTTATTTATTTATAAACTGCCTGGCGACAGTGACACACGCGTTGGTGACTTCCCGACTTGACTTCTGTAACGCGCTCTAGTGGGGTTGCCCTTGAAGACGGTCCAGATACTTCAATTGGTTCAAAATAGAGCTGCCAGGCTGCTGACGGGGACTGGGCGTTACGTTCACATGACTCCAGTACTCCATCAGCTTCACTGGCTTCCCGTTGAAGTCTGGGCCCAATTCAAGGTGTTGGTTATGACCTATAAAGCCCTTAACAGCTTGGGTCCTGGTTACCTACAGGAGCGCTTACGTTCATATGTGCCCGCCCGCCCCTTGAGATCAGCGGGAGAGGCCCTTCTCCGGGAACCCTCCGTGAAGGAAATTAGGAGGGCAAGTACTCGGAGGAGGGCTTTCTCTGCGGTGGCGCCCAATCTGTGGAATGCACTCCCCAGAGAGGTCCGCCTGGTGCTGTCATTATTTGTTTTTTGGCACCAGGCGAAGACTTTTTTATTAAAACTTTATTTTAATTGCTAATATTATTTATTTATTTTACATATTTGGCCAAGACGTCTCCAATTATATTGTTTTTATATTGTTATTTATTTATTGTTGTGAGCCGCCCTGAGGCTTTGGCGAATGGGGCGGCATAGAAGCTTTCTAAATAAATAAATTATTTATTTATTTATCGATTTATATCCTGCCTTTTTCCTACAAAGGACTCAAGGCAGCTGACATCTCCTCCTCCATCTTATCCCCACAACAACAACCCTGTGAGGTAGGTTGGGCTGAGAGTCTCTGACTGGCCCAAAGTCACTCAGTTAGTTCCATGGCTGAGCGGGGACTAGAACCCAGATCGTCTGAGTCCCAGTCCCATGCTCTTCACCACGACACCACACTGGCTCTCAACATGTGTCTAGAGACTGCTAACTGTGAAAATGCTCTTGTTCACAAGGTAGAAGGGGCATTTCACATGTTAGAACCTTCCTACATGGAAGGCACTCATGTATATCCTGCACAGGGGATAATGTCCCACCTGCATGTAGGCCATTATGTACAATGATCAGTAGTAACAATAGATGGTAAGCTTTTCTATAGCAGGCCAGACTGTTTTGTTTGTCTTACCCTTTATTTTCTAGTCTGACTGGCAGAGACTCTTCACATACTCCAGGGTCAAAGGAAAAGATCTTTTCCATCACCTGCTGTCTTTAGCTGAGCCAGGAATTAAAGCTGGGCTCTTCTTGTATGTAAAACATGTGTTTTGTTGGCGAGCTGTGATTCCTTCTGATAAAGCAACAAAAGTAAGTATCTCATTTTATGTACATGCTGAGAAATGAGGATTGGTATATGTATGTACATACATCAAGACACTACATGCGGGATCATCATATATGACTATGCATAGCTCAGACATAGCACAAGTTTTGTACCCTGTGAAATAAACAGGTAAGTCAGGGTGTTCACAAGTTTTCCTATTTGTTTTTTTTGTGACTGTGCCCAGTAGTGTGTAAGCTGTTGCTTTCTGATTGACCTCTTTTCTGATTCTGTTTCCCTTTTTCAATTTTTAATATTTTTACATAACCCAAAATGCTAACACACTACATTCTGTAATGAAAAGGCCCAGTTCATAAAATGTAGTGGCTAATAAAATCTGAAACTGGGTGTCCTTTTTCAGTTTAACTTTCTGTTTGGGCTTTTCTAGACAGAGATATGATTAGAATCAACAACATTGTTCTCTGTCCAAATACTCTACAGGTTTTGTACTTGGTGATACCATTTAATTGGAATTGGCAGTGTGTATGTGTGTGTTTCCATTGTCTTCATTTGTTTTTTTGCATATACCATTTCAGGATGTGATCTTACGTGCACTTATTTGGGTGTAAGCACTGTTGAACTCAGTGGTACTTGCCTCAGTGCAGACATGCAAAAGAATGCTCTATAGAAGGGGCTGTTTCTTTGCATAGTGGAGGTTGTCCTGCCACCAGCATGGAGATTAAACTAACTTTTCATTGATAGTTATTGGAGGATTTTTCTGAGCCTCGGTTGGCATATAAGAGATAAGTGAGAGATTTTCATGGAGAAGGACAGGAAATGTTAAACCACCTCTTCATGTGAACTTGCCCCTTTCCAAAATCTCACTGACTCTAAAGGAAAGTTTGGGATGGAGTTTTCTTAGCAGTGCCAATGACCACTAAATATTTCAGGATACAGGAACCTGGACGTTCAAAACTGAGTTAGCTATTCCTGCATTTGGGGATATTAATGGGTGATCATGCAACTCTCAACATCTAGAAAGGAAAGTGTGTAGGGCTTGTTCGACCCATGGCTAGACATATAACAGACATGTTTTACTGTGTGATTTGTTTGCATCTAACAACAGAGAAGAGCTAAATTGTGACAGAAGCAGTTCATTTATCTTAACAGGGAGACCCAGCCATTTCAAAATGTTGCTTTGTTTGAAAGTCCTTTATTTCTTTTTTTATATAGTGAACAAGTGATTAGATTTTTTTTAGAAATGCTACAAGATCCACCACTTCTTCTTCTTGTAGAATTTTGTTTTCTTACATTATCATGTCAGGTTCTTTCTTCCGTCTCCATTTTTGAGCTAAAGGCTCAAGGAATAGTGAAATGGGAGAAACAAGGAAACAGATGCCAGCAAAAATGAAGGAGCAGGCATACGTCTGAGTGTAATCATATAACCAACCTGTAGGAGAAATACCAGGCTTCATTTATTAATTTGGATTTTAATCAAGCTGCAATCTTTGAAGATATTCCCACTAGAGATCATTTGTTTTGTCACTCTTTTGTCACTGTACAGCCGAGCATGTACAGATGGAAAACTATTGATTATTGTAGTTTCATCATCTTGCCTTCCTACCCCATTGTCTATAGCAGTATGGATATATTGTTTTAAAATCTACCATTTAGATTTACATAGACCTGTATTTTCCTCCACGCATAAATACCAGGTTCCTTCGATACTTCCTCATGCCTTGTTAATTAAACCATGTTACTGTTCTGTTTTATAAATGTTTACTAATTATTCTAGTGTCCTGTCTGCCTGTACTTCAGGATCTTTTGCTGAAGCTCTCCAGATACATCCTTTACTGCAAGCATATGATTCAACAGTGAGAGGGCTTTTTCTGCAGTGGCACCCCAAGCCTTGGAGTCTGCTCCCTAAGAAGATCTGCTTGTTGGGAATGTTAACAGTATTTTTGGTGCCAAGCAAAAATGAATTTTACCCAGACATTAATCTGTTGTGTTAACTTTTATAGGCATCATTTATTATTTTATAATTGTATTTGTGACGTGAGACAATTATTTACTGTCTTGAAATCCTGCACAGGATAAAAGGAGGTATATAAATATTGGAGAGTGGGATGATCATAGACCTTGTATGAGGTAGGGAGAGATACAATAATGCTTCATAGACATTAACTATTAACAGTATCGTGAAACAGGGAGGCAAAAAAATGAAAGCAATATTTTCCCTGCTTTTTTTCCACGAGGCTGCATAGCTCCATATGATTATATTATCCCGGCCCAAGCATCAGCAATACACTTATGCCAATCTGATCACACTGCAGTGACAGGAAATGTGGTCTTACTGTGTGGAATCAGATTGGTATACAAAAAGTCTATGAGAATAAATCCCCATGGGCCTGTTTCCTGACATTTTCATGCTCTGGGCAGCTATTTTAAAATGTACCACCAGAGGGCTTAGCGCTATTTTCACAGCACTAGAATATTAGATTTGTGTTTCAAAGTATTCTGAAAAGGGCTTATGGCTGATAACCTGCTTCTGTTTATGTTTATGGGATGCTTCCATGTGTCACTCACTCGAAGCAAACCATAACAAAAGAGAACATAAGAGTCTTGCTAAGTCAGGCCAAAGGTCCATCTTGTACAATGTACTGTTTACAACAGTGGTGAGAAAAAATACCACCAGGATGCAGTTTCTTCTAGTTGCAGGCAACATTTCTCTCCCACTGTTATGTTATCAGTATTGAATTTTAAAAAGTGTACTGCCTCTAAACTTGGAGGTTCCATTTACTTAACATGGTTAATAGCTGCTTAAACTTAATGACTTTGTCAGACTGGAATTTTGTGCTTGTTTGTTTGAAAATAAGGCCCACTGTGTTTAGTGAGGAATACCCCTGAGTAAGTATGTATACAGTTGCAGCCTTTCTTATTTTTAAGGCTTCTAAACTATGGGCCATCACCACATATTGTGGCAGTGAATTCTATCGGTTAACTACAGAATATAAAATTAGCATTCAACTTGTCCAATCCGATTCTACCACTAACCAATTTGTTTACTGACCCCAAACATTATCTAAGAAATACTTTTTGCTCTCCATTTTCCCTCTACGTTGCATACATTTATAATCAGCTGTTACCTTACATCATAGTTCCCTATTTTTCTAAACTGAAAATGTCTCAAATACCTTAAAACATGTGGTAGATGATTCAACCCTCATCACTTTACTTCATTTCTGTATTATCTCTAGCACTGTGGGTCCTTTGTGATATATTACACTATTTCAAATGTAGCTGCTGTGTAAAATGAGATTGTTGTTATGTGCCATCAAGTCATCTCAGACTTATGGCAACCCCAAGAATGAAAGCCCTCCAAAATGTACTCAACAGCCCTGCTCAGCTCTTCTAAGTTCAAGGCTGGCCTTTCCCGTCCTTTTCCTAATCTCTAACATTTTGTCTGTATAACCATTACTACATACTTTGCTGCCTTTTCAATGAAATGTTTACTATGACCAAATAGTACTCCCAATCAACTAGGGCACTAAATCTTTATCTCTACACATATGAGAGAGGGGAGGGAGTGGCTTTTTGCCTCTGTATCATTTAGCTCTTACATTTATACAATCTCATTTAGGCTGCTTTAGGCTATACCTTATTGAATAATGAGGGATGTCAGGAAAGCTGATTGTCCCTGCTTGATTCTGGATCTTTTGTGAAAAGCTAATTGTCAAAAGTTATTGGTCCTAACAAAGATCCTTGGAGGATCCAGACTGCATGCTTCCTCAGTTGTGAGAATTGTTTTCCATTCTTTACTGCCTGTTCTTTAACATGTTACCAGTTAAGGTCACCTCCTTATCTCATGCTAAGTAACAGCTGTAATTTATAATTTCCAAGCTTCTCTGTATCACGCTTTCAGAATTGTGTTGCCCAGTCCCTTTGGTAATACAGCTGTTCCCATACGAGCCTGCTCATTCCAAGAGATCATCATCAGAAGCTCTATTCAAGGTGTTCTAACCTTCAGAATTTTAGACAAGTGGTAAGCAGAGCACTTTCTTTATTCCCTGTGACAGCATGTCATTTGTGGAATTTTGCCAATGAGCAACACTTGTATGGTGACTGTTTTGCTAAGTTTTAAATAACAGATCAAGAAAGCTTGATAATCTGATATTAAAAGTGGGAACATCTGCATTGCAATTTGCTGCTCTTCAGTTTTAATGATGTTTCAATGCTCCATAATTGCTTACTATTTTTTCTTTTTATTTTACTGCTGATTTATTGCTCAGTTTTTGCTTTCACTGCTCAGAAACTTTATTGCAATTTGAATTGGTACTTTAAGAACTTGCTGCTATTATCATCAGACCACAGCAACTCGTTACATTGAAATTTGCCAATTAGCTTTAAACTTCATCCTTTTATTGTTTCTATTTCAGATGCCCTCCCGGTGATTCAGTTATGGTCTCTCTCCAACTTCTTCCACAGTGAAGACTGATACAAAGAGTCCATGTATTGTAGCATCTCCCTATTTTCTTTCCATATTTCTTTTGCAAAGGAATTATGTCACCCAGGTTGATTTCTGGTTTCTGATGTGCTTATGTTAATGTCATCACTCTTCTGCCTTAGCAATTCCTGTTTGCTTGCCTTTTCATAACCTGACATTGTTTTGTCTGAGTGTCTATCCTTTCTTTAGTTTTCTCATTGGGAAAATATTTTATATAAGCTTGATGGATTTCTTCCCACTCCTATTCAATTATGGTGGTCACCTCTTCTTCATACCCTTTGTGTACATTTTGTTCACCTGTCTGTTGCAATTATTTTAATTAAGCTCCAGGGCTTAAATATTCCCCTTTTGTATGCTTTGAGCCTCTGTTATAATGGCTGTGAATAATCTGCAAATTCCATGAAGTAACTGGAACTTTTCTTTTGACTTCCATTTAATTAATGTCCTTTTTAAAAATTCTGTCTTCTGCAATTAAAGGTGATGCCTACATCCAGTTGCAGGATGTTAATGGGGATATAGATGTCCATCCCCACCCACATTCCTGACCAAAATAGTCACAAATAGTTACTCATAACTACAGCTAGATTATGATGAAAAGCTTGCTATGCAGGGCTACTGGGCAATGAAACTGCCAGCACAGCATTATAAGGCAGAGCATTGGCTAATCGCCTTGGCCATTGGGATTCAATCCCTATTACACACATGCACGCACACCCTTCAGGTTGAGGATAAAGGGCTTGGTTTGCCCTCACTCTTACAGCAACAAAATCTCCCTTGAGATGCATCACCATGATATCCTATTATGCCCACTATTTATTCATTTATTAGATTTCTGTCACACTGTTCAGCAGGTCCCCAAGCTCATAAGGATTTCTGATCATAATTTTCTAAGCCCATTCTAATATTTTAAAAATATTTCATTGCATGCAGCCACAGACACGGTTTCTTTCTTATATAAAAATGGCAGATATCTTATGTTCTTACAACCTGATGTAGAATTCATGGCGTTTCGTAACCTTTTGGTTATGGAAAAAATGAAGTTGAGTTCAGTGTACTTCTGCCTTTGTGCTTCTAAAACTAGCCAGTGATAAGTGGAAACAGTCATTTCTACTTTCAGAGAAAGTAGTTCTGCTGATCCATCTCCATCCGGAACCAAGTGTTTCCTCTCATTTCCAGGGTTATTCTTAGCTCCAATTGTGCAAGTTGTCACTCCCACAAGTGCAGCAGAACCAGCTGAAGCAGAATGGGGTTGTTAGATACTTCCCATGGAATGCCATCAACATATTATAATGTGTACAAATGGAAGTTCAACTTGTTTTCTTTTCATAGCCTTCCTGGATTATCTTTCATTTCTTTTTCACCTTACTCCTCTGCTGATGTAACTTGTTTGGCCAGCTGGTAGTTCTGCTATTTCTGCTGGTGTGCAGGTTACATGCTATTGATATCTTCTCTGGGGGAATAAACTCATCATATGGAACTGTGAGAAGTACCTTATGTTCACTGTAGTGTTATGAAGGAATAAGGCCCTAATATGGTTATTATTTCTGTTCTAGTGGACCTCCAAGGAAAAGGGAAGAGCAGAATAGAGAAGAGAATAGGGCAATGTAAGGAAAGTAAACAGAGAAGTGAAATAAGAGAAATAAGTAAAAAGATAAGATAGGAGGCAAATCTTCAATCTGTAGCAATCTGGCAGTAGAATTTTTCTAATTATTTTTATAGCATTGCCCATGTATCTGGTGTTTTACCAAGAAGGGGAGGACAGGTCCCTTCTCTGTGTAGAAATAGATACAAGGGAGAATATGTGCTAATTTAAATGTTAAGCAGATGGTACTGCAGAGATGCTACTGTTTTGCTTCTACTGACTGGGCTGCAGTTTTGTGCCTTCCTAGTTCTTTGCTTCAAAAAAGCTTGTGATACAGACATTTGAGAACTTAGATGTTTGCCATCGTTTCTTTGTCCAGCATCACATCTCTTTTGTGGTGCATTTTGCTATAATGACACAATTCTTAAATAGGATATGATATCACAGTTGGTTGCACGTTGGGGGGAAAAACAAAACAATTGAAGGTGCCTTTTCATTTTTCTCTCAAGCTTTCTTCTGACAGAGTGGAATTACTCTTTCAAGTGAAGGAAGTGACTTGTTACCTGCAATAGGAGGTCCGGTGATGACTCCAAGCCCAGCAAGGAATGAGGCAAGTCCCAGTGCACTGTGGAATCTGGGAGCCCCTACAAGATCTACCTGAAAAAGGAACCAGTATTTATTGTATTGTGTGCTGTGTACATTACAACAGTTTAAAATGGCCATATATTGTCAACCATTTCAAAACTATTCTGAATGTTGCATTTATTTGCAATTTTAGTGCTTGGATATTATTGAAACAAGTTTTATTTAAACTGTCATTAGGATGGATTCTGTCCCTGACAATTACACCATGGCTGGCTAATCCATGAGACAAGTACTGGCTGAGTCCCAGGAGGAAGGGGAAGGAGATGTTCAACTCCAGTAACTCAGGAATTAGTTCTGGGTTTCTGTGTGCAGAAAGAGGCATAGAGCTCTCAGCCCTCTAAAGGCTTTACAAGGGTTATACCAGTGCAGAGCAGGGAAGCAGGGTGGTGAGGAGAGAGATTCAACTATGTACTCTGAGGGCCAAACTACATGCAGCATTACTTGCTTTTAAAACAAAGCCCTAAACCTGTGCCTGGAGATTTAGACTCTAGTGAATGTGCACATTACACAGAGCTTTCTTTCTTTTTCTTACATTCAGGGGAGGACTGGATGATAGAAATCATTGACTGAGCATAGTAACAGACTGGATAATAATAGTGTAATCTATATAAGATACAAGTAGAAGGTGTTTTCTATACCCAAGGGAGTGGGCCTGTACTGGAGGAGGAGTCATTCCTCTAAAGGATCATATTACAAGTTTGTGGATGGTGATTCAGGCCAGTTGGTGAGTGCAGATCCAGCAGTATCATTGGGGATACAAGTGGCCTATATAGTTTGGAATGCTTTTCTTCAGCCTTGGTTGACATGGCATTTGCAACCAATCTTGATGGAGATAGTCTTTTTTAATTTATTTAAATTTATTGATGGGCTGGTAATCTTCCCTTTAATTACTGAAATGCATTGTATGTGAGAGAATGATCCAAAAACTTTAGTTAATCCTGAATAGGATAGCAAGGGACTTAATTGACTCTAGTAAATTCAGTCCTATTGAATCCTGTGTTATCTGCACAGGATCCAATTTGTTTCCTGGGTGCTGGCTTTAAAACTTCTGCTAGGTGAGGGAGTGGGGTGCATATTATTACCCCTAGAATCCTCTGGGGGTCCCCATCACCACTGGTATTGGCTACACTGCTGAAATCAGTGGGAAATGATGTGATGGGAGATGGGGAGCCCACACTTGGCTTGGCAGCAGAAAGGGGCTTCCACTAGCTCACCAAACAACTGTTCGGCAGGCTGCTAGGAGCCTCATTAAGCAAAGAGACCGGGCACATGAAGAAGGAGAGGGCATGTGAGAGGAATCATTCTCACACATCTTGCTTCCCTGCAGAAATGCTAATTGTTGTGCAGTGTGTTCTCCACTTCCCAGAAGAAATTCTGGGTGGGTGGGTGGGTGTGTCTGTGAGGCATGTTTGAAGCCCCTTTTCAGTTGACACACCATTTGCAGCAGCAAGCAGCCACTCAGGAAAGGGCCTTGTCGGCAGGAGCTCCTCATTTGTGGAATGCACTGCTCAGTGAGGCTCACTTGGCACTTACTCTTTGGTACAAGGTGAAGACCATCTTATTCTTCCTGGGTTTAGAGAGTTCTGAAAAGTTCTAAGATGTTTATTTGAGAGACTTGTAATTACTGAAAGTCTGGACATATTAATTATTATTATTATTACATTTTTTGATTCTCATTAGTTGTCTTTTCTTTGGTTTATGCCGCAAATTTGTGTTTCTAATTTGTTTTTCAAGTGGTGTTTTTAAATAATACGTTGCACACTGCCTGGAGACCTCTTTTGATGAGATCACATATAAATGTTTTGGTTTTTTGCAGGGGAAAGCAGCAGCTATGCAGGGTACTGATCCAGAATGGATAGTCTAGCTGCTTTTTCTTTAAAATCAAAGCACCCAGGTTAAGTACACTGTTTTGAAGATGTGAAAAAAGTCACATCCTTTTTGGCACCCAAGACTTGTTTAAGTCAGATCATAGACTTCAAATAAGTTATTTCAAATTATAAATTGCATCTTCAGTGCAACTGTTGGGAACTTCGTCTCATGTTCCTATGTATTTTAATCCTCCAATTGTTTAATATTTGTGTGCAAAAGCAAATTCAAATTTTGGATGTGCTCTACTTCTTCAGGGCAGACAAATGGACTGTGTATTTTGGAGTTCATCCATTGGGGGTGTAAAATATGCTTCATTGTTAACCTTTTGATGGCATGAATTTCTTTCTCCCACTTACCAGGACAGGAAGCAACAGTGCCAGGTATCCACCACTGAAAATGGCAAATGTTACAGAATAGATCATAAGTAAAGGAAAGGTTGTGGCCAGAGGACACAGCAGGTTGGTGACACCACAAAGAATGAGGTATGCCTTATGGTAATGATATTTCTTGATCCAGTTCTGATCTGCAATCCAACCAGAGAACAGTAGGCTGGCTGTCTCTGTTATTCCTAAGGAGTGCCAGAAAACAATGCTTAAACAAAATTTCTTTCAACTTAAAAAAACAAATAAAACATCAGAAAATTGTTTATACTTATTTACATTTTAAAGGATATATAAAAAAATCTGTAAAATAGATGTGAATATTCAAAATTACATTTCCATAGTTTGATAACAATGCACAAGAAAGGAAATGTGATTATAAAAACTTGATTTCTTTTAATGTTTTACTATTTCCTTGTTGAGAACTAATATTTTGAAAATGCAGGTTTATTGTTCTTATTACACAGTGATAGGCAACTCATGGTTCTCTAAATATGTTAGCCTACAACTCCCATCAGCCTTAACTAGGACAGCAAATGGTATCTGTTCATGGAAAATGTAGGCTAAAATCCCAGGGAGTCATCAGTTGCCTATCCCAATATTAAAATCCTAGAAGAATCCTCTTAGTGTCAATAACTTGAATATAACTAGAATGTTTTGTTTTATATGAAGCTAAGCTGATCTCCCAAAATAAAATAAAATGAACTATCTGATGTAATTTTCAAATTTCCTTGCAATGCTGCTTCAGGAAATTGCTTACCTGTTAAATTATGATTAAATATATGACTCACAACCCCTTGTTTTTGTTTAAGATGCATTTGTTGATCTTCTCATTAAATTGGCAAGTCACCTATCCATTAGCACTTTGTGTTTTGGCACTGCCAGTAACAAATAATAATAGTCTGGTGATCTCCCCATAAGGGTCTCAGAAATTCCATCACACACCAATATTGGAAGACTACCAAAGACCTGACTGCCCGTTTTTCTTCCTTTGAGCAATAAAGTGGGTTGACTGCAGTTCAGCATTTGATTTATTTGTATGTTAAATATTAATTCATGGAGCAAATTAAGGGGAGAGCCCTCTGCTACATATAGATATCTGGAATATGCACTATTGAGGATTGTGGCCTTTTTCCATTCTTTCATTTCTAACCTAATTCCTTGTTCTGTATCTCTGTCCTGTGACGAGAGTTCTTAAAAAGTTACTTTGTTAAATATAATTGGAATTTAAGACCAAGGCCCTGACTCTTTCCTCACAAAGTTATCTATGGGTAACTCCTCTTGCTACAGTTGAGGCTGCACAACAATGTTGTCTTTAGGTTGCCAATTGCAGAGGGAGGGAGAACAGGTGGGGAACAGGATTTGAATGTAGACCCTCCATTTGCTGATCCATGTTCTGTATCAATGTTTTTCCCTCATTAAGAGAACATTCGAAGAGTTACTATGATTAGGAGTACATAGTTTTGTTGAATAAAGCTATTTTTAATTATTGAAGCTTGTTTCTTATTTTGTAATAAAATAACCACTGAGAAGGGGGGTAGATTTTTTTTAAAAAAATAACAATGTTACTTAACCTTAATGTAAATATAAGAACACTTTTTGGGTTCTATATCCACATTCTTAAAGATGAGTATCCTATTTAAGAAATAAATAACGTACCAGTTAACATATTAAACATGCACTAAGGAAAAATGGGGCAGCAGCAGCATCATCCAACTATTCGTGATTTTGATGACTGCAGCACACCAGATCTGATGTCCCCAGGGCCTTGTCTAATACTCCAGTGTCCGATTTAGTTTTCTTCCAGTGTCTATTGCTTTGCCATTTTTTGCCAAGTCTTACACAGTTCTGAGGTACTTTTTTTTAACAAATGATTTCATTTCAGAATTGAAATGAAGAAGTTCCTGGATTTCTTTTTTAAAATGTTGCATCTTGAGCCATAGACTGTTAGAGACTTGCAGTACAAGTGTCATATGTAATGCTAATAATCATCTATAGGAATTACAATTAGTCTCTTCTACTCCAAACCATGCACTGAGCTGCTGTGTTAATACTGAGAATTTAAGAAGACTATATCAAGAACTTTTCTTACCAGCCACTGCAATGATGTGAGCTGTGTCCATGGCATCTATGCCCAATGTTTTGGCTCTGGCCGCAAGGTGGAAGGTAGGAATAAAGTAGGCTAACTGGCTGAAGAGAAAAGACCACGTGAAAATGTAGAAGAAGGGATTTTTCAGCTGGGAAAAATCAAGATGACAGTGCTTATAAGGAAAAGACTTCAGCTTCGATTTTATTTCCTTTTGGTTGAGGTAGTTTAGACTACTAGCTTTGTTACGAGTACTGTCTGGCTGAATGTCCAGGAGGCTGTCTTGCTTTGGTGTTTCAAAATACGTGTAAGTTTCTGAGATTAATTGTACGTTTCCAACCTCCTGCAGCTTGTCTGTCTTGGTGCATTCTTGGCTGGGAGGAGCCAGGCTGTCTGATTCTGTGGTGTGGGTTTCATGCAGGCTGACTTTAAAAGCTTCTGGAAACTTACAGTGCACAGACACTTGGTTGCCTTGCTTCCTAGTACTCACATCTTTTCTTTTCTTCACATTAACTGGCCGTAGTAGCATGCTAGAAGGTACAAGGTTTAACATCATGCCGCTATATAGCAATAGGGCACCTAAGAAAAAGGACAGAGATTAAGGTGTGATTTTTTTTCTCCCATCATGATAGAAAAGGAACTGATAAACATTTTTTTACTAGAATGGGGCTATTCATCTGAGAAGATGGGCATTTGGGCAACTTTGGGCTGGCATCTGTCTGGACTGCAGTGAATGCAGTAGTGCTGATGATTGAAGTGGTAGCAATATTCCTGTTCCTTTTAAAAGAAAATAATAGAAAACCTTCTGCAGCCTAATGGTAAGCACCTCCCTACATTTATATTCCACAGATTTGAAACAACCCCTGGAGATTATTCCAGTCTTCAGGAGCCTTCCATTTGCCTGAAAGAGATTTAAACTCTCTTGGTCCAGTGCTAATTTTATATTTATAAAGAGAGCATGTGCAAAAAAAAAAGGCTTTTAGAAAAAGAACCTGTTTGATTTCTTTCCCCTGAAATGGTCTTTCTCTCTCAGGATATTTATTTCCCATTGATGTCCTACAATGTAACAAAGTAGAGGACAATTTTACTACTATGGTAGAATTCCTCATAATTTGCCTATCTCAGAATTAAGTAGAACAATTGAAGCAGAGTTTAACCAATCCTAAGATCTACTGCACCAGAAGGATCTATACATTTTAAAGAAAAGGCAAATTCTTTTACAATGTTGCAGATTTTTGGATTTTGCTCATAGCAAAGGGGGGAAAGTTGAAAGGGAAGGCAGTTTAGTTACAATTTGACTCTAAAACATTTGTGTCAGATTTAACATCAGTGTAATTCCAATTACTGATTAACAGTTCAAAGAAAGGCTTGATTTAATCATTTACATTTCCTGTTCTGATATTTCAGGGCAAACACAGAAAAATAAAATATCAGCAACAAAAAAGTCAAGTAGTGATTTTGCCATAGCCGTGCCTTAGCTGACATTTAAAGTAAGTGGTGGAAAGTGAAGCTTACTAACCTTTCCAGCTATACACTTCTATCAGGAATTGAACTAACGGCGCTAGCGCAACACTCAGTCCCATTCCTGAACGTCCTATTGCGTTGGCTAGAGCCAGCCGTTTCTTGAAGTACTTAACTGTCATCACAGCTGCTACCTGATACAAGCAAGCGAAACCCAGTCCTAAAATGAAGAAGAGAAGCATAATGACCAAGAGCTGAACCTCATGTGTGAGTGCTATTTTTTTTGCTTGGTTTAGTTGAAACCATCTTATGTGGTTTAAAAGCAATTTACAGATTTATCACACTGCGGTGGGAATAAAATGCCCAGTGAAAGGACCCAAATGTGGAAGCAAATAATTGGATTGTTGGCTAGCAGTACTGCATTATAGGATTCCCTGGAGGTAGCAATAGGATGGTTTGGTGATCTTAGAGGTAACATCAGCTTGCTTTAACCTCTGACTCTGACCACATAGTCAAAGTGCAAATCAAACATTGAAGTAAGAGACATTTAGGGACCATAGCTCAGTGATAAACTTATTTTGGTACTCTGACTTAATTCCTGGTAGTTCCAGTTAAAAGGATGATGGGGAGATAATAAGTAGGATCTTTGCTTGGATTTCCGAAGAGCTAACATCAATCAGAGTGAAATAAATGATATCAGACTTAGTGGACCAATTGTCTGACCTGATATAAGGAAATTTTCCAGTTTAAAAAGGTCCCCCCCACCTCGTAAATGGCTATATAAGAAACTCATTTCTGCATTTTTCCCTTGTGTTTACCTCTAGGACATGTGCTTCATTTGAGAAGGATTCTTAACAGGTTTAAGAACAACTCATCCTCAGATTGCTTGGGATAACTAATCCTTGGGGGATCGAACCAGTGCCAAGGAAACGAGGCACCATTGCCTGCTGGTGTCTTCTGCAGTCCAACTTTGGAAGACAGCAGAACATGGGCATGCTTTACTTCCTCAGAACTGTGTCCTAGGTTTTAGCAGCTCTCTTACAAGCAGACTAGCCTCTCTTTGGTGGGAAACAGCTTTGAAAAATGTGAAAGCCCAGCTAGTTACAGCTGTTTGCAAATGATCCCTAAATATGTGTCCATGATGAGTTAAAAGTCTATGACTGACTTGTTAGACATGTTAACTGTACACTCACCTGCAAGAAATCCCATGGACACGCACAGGAAAGAAATGCTTGTGGCCAGAGTGCTGACAAGGCACCCTGCACCAACTAGGCAAGCGCCCATCAGGGAAGTCTTCCTTTCACCCAGCATTTCACATACTGCGGTTACCAGTGGGGCTGGAACAGAAAGTGTTGAATGGAATATACATATTGGTGACAGTGTTAGGGGATATTGAGCTTAGTATAGAGCTTCATTTATGGGAATTAAAAACTAGGGTGATAAAGAGAATGTATTATGCTATGTAAACAAGTGGGAAAATAAAATGTCTGAGGATACAAGAAAAGACAGTCTTTAGCTGTAGCGATCTTACTTATCACATTTGTATCCTGTTATTCCTTCCAAGGAACACAGGGTTTTACACACAGTATTTCCCTCTTTTCTTATAACCATCCCATGAGGGAGATTCAGGTGAGAGATTGGCTAAAGGTAACCTAGTAAGCCTATTGGTTGAGCCAGTACTTCCATTCAGCTCTTGCTAAGTTCAGATCCAATGCTATCCATGACATCACACTGGCTCTCAAGAAAATCAGGAAATGTTGCAGTGTAGATGCTGGTAGCACTACAGTATGAGTGTACGTGTGTGTGAGGGCAAGAGAGAGAGTCCTGCATCATCTGCCCTTAGCCTGCTCTTGGATGCTTCCCATATAGGTTTCCAGGTGAATTTAGGATTGCTGCACAGGTGAGCTCATATCATTACCTAAGTTCCTTAGGCCTACTAGAATTATTTCAGAACCAGTACTTCAATACAATTCATAAAGTAAAAAGACTTCCTAGCTGAGCCATGCTGTCTCTACAAGATGCTGTTTGAGTTTGTGTTTGCTAACCTGCCAGGAATCGAAGAGAGGACATAATAGAGCCAATCCAGCTGACATGTTCAGAAGAGCCGCCAACGTTTTCTTGAAAGACCACAAAGAAAATTGCGAAGTTTTTCAGGGTTCCCATTACAGACACATTTACCTTAAACAAGATCAATACCGATGTATTAATGAAATAGTAATTACAATATGAGAAGCAGCTGCTGTTTGCCACTTGTTCCTGTCTTCAGAACAGTGCATTTTCTAGTTGCAAACATACATTGATAGATTTTTGAAACACCACTGGGAGAGACTACTGGGCTACCATCACAGTTCCAGAAATGATGCCAGCTAATTTAGCTGGGGCAGAAAGGGAGAATGATAGAAGAGAAAGGAACAGCTTATGTTGAAAGATATTATTATTATTATTATTATTATTATTATTATTATTATTATTATAACATTTCTATGCCGCCCCTTGCCGAAGCCTCGGGGCGGCTTACAATAAGATACATTGAAATACAATAGAACATAATAAATTACCAATAAATACAAAAATACAAAAAATACACTGAGATACAATAATATAAAATTAAAATTAACAGTACAAAATAAGCAAATAAAGAATATAGGAGGAGGAAAGAGAAGGAAGAAGAAGTTGCCCTGGCCAGATCATATATTTTAACAATTAAAATGATGTTTAAATAAAAAGGTCTTTACCTGGCGCCGAAAAACCAGTAACGACAGTGCCAAGCGGACCTCTTTGGGGAGTGAATTCCATAGGTTGGGTGGCACTGCAGAGAAAGCCCTCCTCCGGGTACTTACTCTCCTAATTTCTTTCATGGAGGGTTCCCGGAGAAGGGACTCTCCCGCAGATCTCAAGGGGCGGTCGGGCATATACGGACGTAAGCGCTCGTTCAGGTAGCCAGGACCCAAGCCGTTTAGGGCTTTATAGGTCATAACCGACACCTTGAATTGGGCCCGGGCTTCAATGGGAAGCCAGTGAAGCTGACAGAGGACTGGAGTCATGTGAGCATAACGCCCCGTCCCCGTCAGCAACCTGGCAGCTCTATTTTGCACCAATTGAAGTGTTCAGACCGTCTTCAGGGGAAGCCCTACGTAAAGCGCGTTACAGAAGTCTAGGCGGGAAGTCACCAGCGCGTGTGTCACCCTCGCCAGGCAGTTGTACTCCAGGTAGGGGCGCAGCTGATTAATCAGCCGAAGCTGAAGGAAGGCGCTTCTCACTACCGCTGTCACCTGAGCTTCCAAAGAAAGCTCTGGGTTGAGGAGTACTCCCAAGCTGCGGACCTTGTCCCTAAGAGGGAGTGTTGCACCATTCAGGACCAGGTCAAATCCACCCTCTCCGAAGCCCGATCCGCCAACCAACAGGACCTCCGTCTTGTCTGGATTGAGTTTCAGTTTGTTGGCCCTCATCCATTCCATTACCTTGGCCAAGCACCAGTTCAGCACAGCCACTGCCTCACCTGGATTAGTGGAAAACGAGAGGTAGAGCTGGGTATCATCAGCGTATTGATGATTCCGCAGCCCACACCTCCTGATGACCTCTCCCAGCAGTTTCATATAGATGTTAAATATCAGAGGGGATAGAATGGAGCCCTGTGGTACTCCATGGCATAGCTGCCATGGCGCAGAGACATAGTCCCCCAGCACTACCTTCTGGAATCGACCATTGAGATAGGAGCGGAACCACTGCAAAGCAGTGCCTCCAACCCCCAATCCCGCTAGCCTATCCAGAAGGATACCATGGTCGATGGTATCGAAAGCCGCCGAGAGGTCCAGAAGAACCAACATAGTAGTATGCTGTTGAGTTCAACCACAAAAGTTTGGAAGGTAATGTAATCAGAGAGTTTTTCATGCTTGTGTACTGCAAATGTTATAATATGGTGGATATTTAAAATTTGGTACATTTCTATCATCTTCCCTTCAAAGAACTCACATTGGCATTTATCGATTCCTCTATGCCAGTTTTATCCTCACAACAACCCTGTGGGTTAGGTTAGGCTGAAAGACAGTGACTGGCCCAAAGTTACATTGTAAGCCCATGTAATGTAGTGGTTAGAGTGTTGGACTGGCATCTGGGAGATCCAGGTTCTAGTCCTCACTTTGGCACAAAGCTCACTAGATGACTTTGGGCTGATCATTGACTCACCATCCTCACAGGTTTGTTGTGAGGGTAAGATTGAGAGGGAGAGGATTACAGAAGCTGTTCAAGTTCCTTGAGTGGAAAAGGTGGGTTATAAATATAATAAATTAGCCTCTTAGCTTATTGACGGTTTGAATCTGGGTCTCTCACTTCTTAACTGACCACTGAACTATTTGATTGCACTGACTCAGGGAGAGAACTTTATTGGTACAGATGAAGGAAAGGAGGTTTCTGAAGGGTTGGAGAGTGTTCCATTTTCATCCTGAAACCTCATCATAAAACACCAAGAAGGAAATTACCTTGGTATGCATCCCCAGCATCTTAATATTTCCCCTGTAGGCTAGTATTCTCTTTTAAAAGCTAGAGCAGGCCAGTTCTAATGCATTGATTCCCCATAGTAACAAGCACACCTAATTGATATGCAGCATTCCGCATTTCTTGTAGGCATTCAGCTGGAATTTTTGAAACCAGATTGGATGATGCTCGTGATTAGGATGGAGAGACTAAAAAGTATAACGTAAATAGACCAAAGAGGAAAGGAGGAATAATAGCATCAGTCAAGGATGTATACATATGCAAGGAAATCCATTAATCTGAACATGGAAGGTTGATTTGAGGACATTGGGATGAAAATTAAAATTTGGAAGAAGCAATATAAGTGGGGAAGTCTCCTACAAGACAGAAAGACTTAGGTGAAAACTTCCTAGATTAGATTACTACTTTCTTAAAGAGGAGACCCTTCAAGTAATGGGAGACTCCACATTCCTTCACATTACAAATCAAATTGTACAAAGAACAAAAAGTTAAATAAAATCCTAACTTGCAGAATATATGCTCCAAAATATGAAAGTAGTAATAAGTGGCTTCACCATCTTAGAGCTGATAGCCAGCAACTACTTAGCTGAAAGCAATGGAGACCTTAGGTGGAAGTGACTACTTGAAATTCAGCTTGGAATATATGACTCTGAAGAAAGGGAAGGTTGAGTGTAGTGGGACTTGCACTTTGGATTTTGGAAAGCTGATTTCAACAAGTGTAATGAAAAACTGAATATGGCCCCCACAGGTAGAAATATTCAAGAAAGGGGAATTCAAGATGGGTGGGAATTTCTAAAGTGAGAGATAAAGGCACATTCACCAAACTATTCCAGTAAACAAAATAAAATGGGAAGCATCTAAAGGAGCCATTGGCTGCATAAAGAGCTTCCTGATGAGCTCAGATTTAAAAGGAACACTTAGAGAAAATGGAAGGAAGGTCAAACTGCAGGATAAATATAAAGCAGTACATGTAACTTTTAGGGATAGTGTCAGAAGGGCTAAAACTCTGAATGGGTTAAAAACAGTTATTTAGAGCAAGCAAAGGAAGTGGTATGTCTGTTAGAAGCAAAAGATTATTGTTAGCAGGTGTCCGAGAAAGTGGAATTGCTAAGCTACTTTCTTCCTGCAAAAGAGACAGCTCAAGCTAGCAAAAAATAGATTATATGATGAAGGGGAGGAGTTGCAGTTAAAAGAAGGTAAAGCATTTTATTTATTTAATTCCACTTCTATGCCACCCGTAATCCAAGTGCCATTAATACAGATGCACCTAGAATCTACATGAATTCAAGCAGTCGGGGCCTAATGAGTTGCATCCTGCAGTGCAAAAAACACTTGGACAAGATGACCTTTGAGGTTGTTTCCCACTGCATGATTTTAAAACTTGGCAAATCTTGGGTTGTATACAGACTTAGTCATATACAGAGTTGATATATTGAAATGAAGGAGACTAACGCCTACTTTTCTAGAACTTGTCTGTTAAATGAAGCAGGGTTGCTAGTATTACAACTTTAGTTCTTTATCCTGTAGCATTTCTTGAGTATCTTTGTTTATTCTATCTTTCAAAACATTTATACTTCAAGTTAAAACTTTAAAATAAAAGATAGAAGAGTAATTTCCTAACTTAGGCAGGACAAACCCAGCTTGTCTATTGAGCCTTCACTCAACAGGCTGTCATATACTCTCACAGCTTTCAGTCAAGTATGTCCCTATGGTATGTGGTTGCAAATAGGTATTTATTGCACTCACAAGTTTACATTTTTAAGTATACACTTACAACTTCACAATGAGAGGGTGTAATGTTGAGGTGGTTATAAGGGTAGATTTAAAGAATTTCCCCATGCTCCTGACTCAAGAGTTGTAATATACAGCCAACAGTGCAGAAAACACCATCAGGGAAAAACAGGTCTCTCTCTGCCTGTAACATACTTTCACGCTCACTATGGAACAGAAGTGGGCAGTACACAGCCCACGCTCTTCCATGATCCTAGACTTATGGCTGCCTCATGTAGGATGAATTGACTTTCCATATAGGGGTCAGAAACTCTGCAATAGTTCTTACTATAACAAGATCAACTCTCTGTATATAAAGAAACACTGACATGAATCCCTGCCCAGGAGCAAGAATTTTCTATTTCAGTGTTTTTGTCTTCCTACAAACAGTGAAATCAATAGAGCTTGCTTGTGACAAGTAGCAATGAAGCTAAAACACAGCATGCCATGACAGTGTCTTTGATCCATTCCTTACTCACCAAAAAAAAGTTAAGCGCAATCATCCAGCCCCACCCTCCATCTGGAACTTCTCCATCAGCAAAGTTTCTACTTGTATCATCAGCCACTCTTCCATCTTCTTTGTTTTCAGCAGACATTTTGGGCTCCAGCTGGCATTATCAAAGTCGTCTTACATGCAAAAGGTAGTGGTTCTCATTCTAGATAGCCATGCTTGCCACAAGTAGCAATGAAACTAAAGCATAACTGTGTTAAATAAGCTGTGAAGTCCCGTGTCTTTAAAAAAATGGTTAATGGTTAAGACTCAGAAGTATTTTTGCCCTACTGACCAAGATGGGCCTCTTAATTGCTGCCTTTCTAGCACTCGCTCTCTGTGAGCATGTGCTGATGCAGTCAGCAGTGTTTCTAAAAAGGGTTCAGCTGTGTATGTTTAAAAAACCCTAATTTAACCCATTTTGTACTGTTATTTATTAAACCACCTGCAAAAGGAGGTGGTAATCAGTATCCAACAATGTCTAGGAAACATGTTTTGTCTGTTAGAAGACAAATGATTGCTTCTGAGAAGGGATGAACATTTTTATCCAGTCTACCACATGAAAGTGATCCCCCACGTGTGAGCTTGCTGTGGGGTCTGTAAGTGATTGTGCAGCAGAACCTCATTACCACAGAGTATGAGTTGATTGTTTCTTTCCCCTAAAGCACTCCAACCTACTGCTGAGAGCAGCTTTTCCCCTACCCCACTACTGACAAAGGGAAGGCTGTATATGAGGTCAGGTAGAGGCTTGGCAGGCAGGAGGTTCCTCATGCTTGCATTAAGCTGAACTATAAGGGTGTGATTTTGCTACAGCTGCATGTTGCTCAGACTGCAAACTGAGCATCCGGGGCCAAGACATTGACTCTCTTTCCTTATCTTAATGGTTTATCTTTACAATGATCACACTGTTGCTACAATCATAAAAGAACCACATATTAAGATAGATCTGAATCCCAAGGAAAGCTTGTCCTTACCCTAACTGTAGGAAGCTTGCTACCATGGACTAAAGCTAAATCGGCCCTCTAGACTTGTGCAGCCCCTAGAAGCGGACTGGGCTAGTGCCTCAAGGGCTGGTCCCTCTGCATAGATTCCTTCAGAAAAAATGAATGTGTCTGTGGAAGCTGTCAAGCTTTTGCCACTTTTCCTGGAGCCATCTTACATCTAAGTAAATTGCCTCCCAGCTTTAAGTTTTTAGAACTAGCAGAGCTAACAGTGTCAGTATTGTATCATTTATATTCTGCATTATTTTCCTTTTGCAAGGAAGCCAAAGGGGCTTTATGAGTCTCCTCTCCATTTTATCCTCACAAGTAGTCTGGGAGTAGGTTAGACTAAGAATCAGTGACTGGTCAGAGTCACCCAGTGAATTCCATAGCAGCTGGGGACTAAGCCTCAGTTCTCATTGTCTTCTCATGTTACTTCACACTCAGCTAGAACAGAGTATTGCCCAGTCCTGTCTTATTTGCTTGATATGCAGCTGCCAGGAGATTACAATCTTAGAGCAATGATGCTTAGCCAACTTCTAAATTAGATTGCTTTTAACTGCCATTTTAACTCTTGGAAATTAAGTCTAGGTTTAATACCAACCCAGTTTGTATTGCTTGATCAGTCAGTACACAATTCAAGAATAAGTGAGACAGAGCCTCTTTTGATGCTATGAGAAATTGTCATTGGCTAGTAACTAGATACAAGATATTGTTTGTTGTTACTTCCCAGATTACTAACAATTGGGGTAGCATTGTTATTGCCAAGTCTCTTAAATATGATTGTTCATTTTCTGCATGAAGGAAGCTCCTATATACACCAAGGAAAGACTACAACCTTTCCAAAAAGCACTGAACACCAAGGCATAACTGAAGACAAAGATACAAAATAGAACAGTATTTAGAGTAACTACAGAGAAAGAGCCATGCATTTTGTTCTGTTTATTGATTTCTCCTAGTGCCACCTGCTAAGTGCTGTCTCTCCAGCTACACAACAGAATTTTTTTTCCAAACTTGGTAGTATGAAATGGTTGAAGTTCAGAGCAACCAGATTCTCTGCCAGTTTAGGCCTAGAGAATGCTTACAGTCCAGTCCAACTCCTTGCTGCCTAGTAACTGGGATATTCAGTCTGTATTCATCTGCAAAAAATGTGCCACAACAATGAGCTGAGGAGGGGTTCCATGGTGTGGATGCACAAACTTAGGATGCCATTTTGTGTACTGCCACCGTGATGTCATCATGCTTCTGGATCATGATGTTACTGAAAGAAAAAGAAGGTTCATTTTTATACACAGCAATTTAACATAACAGAACCAGTCCCAAATGTTAACCAAAATCAACTGCATACCTAGACCATACTGGATGATAAATTATTGTTGCCTTTATGATCTCTTAAGGCACTTCAGCTTATTGAATCTAGTATTTATCCTCACAGTAGTTCAAAAGTAAATTAAGGCTATTAACTAGGATCCTATAACCAAAATAGCTTTGCTTTTCATTTCTCAAAAATGTGCTTTTCCTGTCTTAAGAGGAACCATCATTCATACATCTATAAATACTTAGGACTTCAGTGTTTGAAGTACCTGTGGATATCCCAGATTTTATTTATCTCCTCTTGGAGAAATTAGGTGTGCTTTAAAGCCTGGAAGGACCGACAGCTGTTTTAGATATTGTGATCAGATCCATTAAAACTTTGTTAGCAATTTCTTCTACAAACAACATGCATCCACAACATAAATCAAAAGAGAAGGGGCAGGGGGAGAGAATTATCTGTGAATCCATTAAAAATAAAACCTGTATTTCCTGGTTACACTAAAAGCAAATCCCCTCCCATTTGAGGCTCTCTCTTCCTGTCCTCCTAAGTCTTAAGGGAGTTTTACATAAGCAGCAGTGTTCAGAATGGCACTTACAGTGGGTCTGTGAAGCCATTCCATGCAACAGAAATAGGAAATCAACATATGTGGATAAATATACTTACCCAGTATCTGACTCAAGGCACACTACAGGAATATCTGTTGGATCAGCTGTTAGTTTGGCTGCTTGCTGGGCTAGAACAGATATCACTCCTGCATGTTCATCTGAGAGAGTGCCACGACCTATAAGACATAGAAACAGAGAGAGTCAGAAGGTGCTTCCCAGGCCATCTAGTCTGACCCCCAGCTCCAGCAGGCTCCACTCATATAATACCCAACATGTGGTTCACCAATCTTTCCTTGAGCACTCTCACTGATGGGGTCTCCATCACCTCCCACAGAAGCCCATTCCATATCCTAGGGGTTCTAACCACCAGGAAGTAATTTCTGATATCCAACCTGACTGTTAATTGGCTAAAAGCACTAAAAGGTGGAAGAGGTTAATTTTTTCACAAATAAATAGGCAGAGAAGTGGCTGCACATTTTGCTTCATATCCCAGGTTTGACAGGACACCTTGTTTTTGGTTTACAAAAATAAAGCTCATAATCTGAAGATGAGGCCTCATTCTAAGGGGATCGAGTTCTCCTCGCCCCTTACCATGGGTCTCCATGATCATGGATAAAATCTGGAATAGCTGTTCTCATAACATTACTATTAGCCATCTCCCCCTTTCCCTCATGTGTTCTTTCAGCATTTTCAAAGCCTTTGTGGGTAAAATAGGGTTTTGAGGTACTTTCATCCAATGCAGGTTTACAAGGGTGTTAAGTAAAATGATGTATCAAACAATTTAAGGTTGGTAAAGAAAGTACAGTAAGTCCAGGAATGCAAAGGATTTTACAAAACCCAGACATTAGGGCTGGTTCCATTTTTTTTAAAGTATTGATTTAAAGAAGGGGGAACAGTAGCAAGTCTGGCCCAAACCCGTTATTCAGATATGCAACTGGTATATATGAAAAGCAATGCTGACTGGCAGAAGGAGCTCCCTCAAATACAAGACTTGTTTCACACAACTAGAATAATGATGCAACAGTAGTTAGTTTAGATAAATTTGATCAATCCTTTTAAGAAATATGAGACACTAAAATTTGTCAAAACCTATTCAACTCTCCCCCTCTCCCCATTTTCAAGTCCAGAGGCAGTATATCTTCAGTTACAAACAACTATGGAAGGCCAGTACCTTGCCTCACAAGGGAACCTCAGAGGGATCCAGCTACTCTTGGAAACAAAATGCTGGAATAGCTGGCCCTCTGGTTTAAATCACCTGTTCTCTTCTTACGGAATATTCTAATATATAATAAGGCTGCTACTTACTAATTTGGTCATGGCTGCAACAAAATTATTGTGAACCTCCCCCTCCCCTAAATCCATGGATAACTTTTTTCTGAGCGCTGTGAGCCAGTAGTAGACAGGCCAGAACCTTCTCTTTTTTGCCACTTCAATGTGTCTCTCCTTTGCAAGTGCTGATAGTCTCCAGCTATTCCCTCTGTCCACAGGGAAAGGCAAAGATTATCTCTGCCCATTTAAAAAAAAAGGCTAGCTTAACATATACAATCGGTTTGAAGAGGAAAAACAAATGCTCTCAGTTCTATCTTTATCAAGAATGCAGTATCTTTCAGAGCAAATCTAGCACTCACTCCTGTATGGTTTTCAGGGACGGTCTCCTTTCACCATCACTGACAAATAATTGTACTTTTCATGCATTTCATGAATGATTAACTGGGAGGGAGGAGACTTAATACCTCTCCTCCTTTGCAAATACCAAGAGCCTTCCTTAGCCCCTCTGCTACTGCTGGAAGAGAAGTCAGAATAGAACTAAAGCCAGACTCAAATTAAGCTGTGATGCAGGCCTTCCAAGAGTTTCTTTTGAGTATCATTCTTTTCCTAAGCCTCCTTTCCTCTTCTTAGCCATCCTCAGACCATCACATTCTCCCTTTTATTCCCTTCTCTCCTAGTCTTCCTGCTTCCTTGACCTCTTTCAAATTTGTCAGGAGAGATTTTTTGGATTAGGAATGAAATAAATTCTCCAGATTTTAATTGCACTTACTTGTCAATACAATTATAGAGTTCAGGACTCTGAAGGTTACAGCCTATTCAGTGCTGAAGGTCACATTCCGTGTCAGGGAGGGGGCTGGGGAGGAGACAGACACACACAGACTATGTGGATAGGCAGCTTCATGGTTACTGGACAAGGGAGGAGGCTAAAGTCTTTTCTCCAACACTCTGTCTTGGGACTGCTGCTTCCCAATTACATCAGCTGGGCAGATGAGAGAACTGGATAGGATACCTGCAGGTCTGGCAGGCCACACAGAGAGCAGCACTGGATATATGGAGTTCACAGGCTATGCACCCCTGATGTAACTAAGAAATGGATTTCTTTTTAGAAGCTATACTATTGCTTTTTAATTGTGTTATGTAGGCTAGCACTTAAACCAGAGAAGAAGGAAATATTTGGGAGGCTATGGAGGTGAATAGGCAGAACACAGGAGAAAAGGAACTTTTCAAGGGGGTGGGCCTAATAAAAGCAGAAGTAGAGGAGGGACCGCCTTGTAATTTGAATCCAGGTAGAACCCTTGAAGGCGTGCGGAGGAAGCACTTTATACGTTACTTACAGCCCAAGTTTAGCCCTTGGGAATCGGTACACAGGACTCCCGCTATAGAGGGATTCTTCATTCTAGTAAAGAAGGAAAAGGCAAAGATCTGTCACTCCCGCTGCGCTGGCAGGAAAGAACGACAAAATCCAACCGCCTTCCCCCCGTTACTCCTACGACCCTCCTAAACAAGAGAGGCACCCCACACACGTCCCCATTCCTGGGAGAGAGTAAGAAAGCGACACTACCGTCCTCCTTCACTTACGTATCCTCTAAGTGATGTTCCAACGCCCCTTCCATCTTGCTGCGCAGCACTCACTCTTCCTCATCCGGCTGTGTTTGTCAGCTGATTGTCCTTTCACGTGATAAGCAGGGCTGGAGCAACGGTGGCTCTTTAGAGTCAAACTTCGTCAAAGTTAAAACTTCGCAGGTGGCTGCGTGCTACATTTTGGCGAGCGCAGAAATACGGCGAGGGGGAATGAAGTTAGATTTTTGTGGTTGCTGGGGAGGAGAGTCTTTTGAAATCAGGGACCCTTACTTTCGTAATTTTATCAGGGCGTTAAGTTCGAAGTGCAATCCTAATGATATTTAGTATGTATGCCACAAATTTCAGGTTTGCAAAGTAGACAGAATCTCAACGATTTAAAAGCAACCCTAGCGGGGTACGGGGGGGGGGGGTTGTGAATACGAGAAGATTTACAGCAGGGATTCCCTTTCCCAGTTTCCTGTGGAATCCAGTTAGAATGGGTCTCTAGATGCTTGCTCAATTACAGGGGCAGCTACAGCTTAAATAAGGAACGCTGAACAGCTCCATTAACACAAATGGTCCCCCGCACTCGCGCACACACTCAAAGTCCTTGGAACATTTCAAACCATCCAGGAATCTGTGGGCAGATCTATGGATATGTAACACAGTGCATCTCATTTGTTTTACAATTTTCAAAACTGGACATCTTTAATATTAAGGGCAATGTGCGATGCAGGGAGATTGATTTCCTGAAGAACCAAAGAACAAACTTGCAATTATTGGGTGAAATGCAGCCCTACACACACAGAAACAATTAAGTGCTTTATGTTCAGCTCAAAATAGCCAGAATGCTGGTTCTTAGAATCAAACTGGAAACCAGATGCTGTCCTTACACAAATTGTGAAAAAATGGACAATCATCTTCAGCAGATATTTATATGCTAGTGATTGTTCTCTATTTTTAAGCCTTTTGACATCAGCAATAATGAGTTCATTGTTCATTGTGGAATGTTAGTCAGCACTCTAATTAAGACTGCAAATGTACACTTACACATGAAGTCTTTGAGACTGAGTTCAAACCCATAGGATTCAGTGAAATTTGCTTCCAGGTAAACAAGCTTAGATTGCGATTGAATGGAAACATGGAGGCAATGAAAAGAGTTGATTCTTAGGGGGAAGACATGGGGCTTCAGATTTTGATCAGAACGTCTGTCTTCAAATTAGGAGGGAAGCTATATCTTGGGAAGGTTCAGGTACTATGTTGGAGACAAAAATTACATTTACAGTGCTTCCTGAGAAACAAGACAACAAGAAAGCAATTGTGATGTTATTGGAGCCAGCACATCCCCCTGCTCTCAATCTGATTACTGACAAGACATTTCCAGAGGTGAGGAGAAGTTAAAATATCCACCATCTCTTTCTTCACTTATGAATCCCTTATGGACAACAGGGATTTCAGAATTTTCTCCTAGACCTCCTTTATGGGCTTGTTTCCATGGCAGTCCAACCCAATAAGCACAGTGGGTTGATTGTTATACAAAAATCACAGTGCCGCCTCCTCCCTTTCTTCAGACCACTTAATTTACACAAGATGGGGCACCCTGTGCATGCTAGAAAATACCCTCCTTTGTTCCGAGATACCATAACATTTTTGAAAAATACCACAATAACATCAAATAATGTTATTCTTTATTACATTTTTAGGATCTACTTGTTTCATTTATATCCTGCTTTTTTGCCAAAAAATGTCACTTGAGGAAGCTTGCAAAACAATGTATAGTAAACAGTGAAATTAGTTAAAACTAGAATTTAAAACATAACAGTTGTGATAACTTGGCCTACTTCCCCAACATGCTCTGGCTTTGTGCTATTCCTTGCCATATTATTGTTGTTGTTGTTGTTGTTGTTGTTGTTGTAACATTTCTATGCCGCCCCTTGCCGAAGCCTGATGCTGCATCTGCCTACTCACCCACTTCACCAGAAACTTCTTCCCACATTACAGAACTTCCAAGTTCTGAAGATCCAGGGATACCTTAAAAGCAAATATTTGTGGTAGCATATACCATTGCAAACTCAATGCATGAAGTGTTGTCCTGAGTTAGCATAATACATGCATACATACCTATGGGTATTCTCTCTTTTCAGCTGTTCTGTTCCTTTGCGTATTCCTTCTCCATGAGAGGGCACCTATGCACACATAAGATGAAGAACCGTATTGTTCTAGCAAAGGGGAACTGCATCTAGTTTCATGCCGGTTCTCTCTCTCCTTGCAAAATGCTAAGCGCACACTTCCCCTGGCAAGTACCTCCCACACACAGTATTTGATGGGATGCCCCCGTACCACCTCTCCCTGGACACAACATCCGATGGGCAGAAGTGCACTTGCTGAGAGTAATACAGCTACTTGTTCAATTTTCTTTTGTGCTGCTTCTTAAATTCCTACTTGTTTCACTTGAATGACTGAGTAAATCCTGGCACTTGGAAGTGTGGAGCTGACTGAACACTTGACTACCTTGCAGGATGGTTTTGGCTGTTCATGCTTACAGGCCCAATCTTGTTCATGCTTAGAGTGAAAACTGTCCCAGCCTGGTGGCTGCAGGATGCTGAGAGTTGTCTAAAAATGCATTGGATTGTGCCTGAAGCTGCTCGGTCTGATTTAGCTGGCTAAAGTCTTTCCCTTCTCCTCACAAATACTGCAGATTTGGGTTTCCACAGGCTCATCAGGTGGCAGCTGCTGATTAAGGGGAAAACACCTTTCAGCCTGTCCTACCTTGCCAGGAAGGTTGGAGCACTTGTTCTTTTATCACAGGTACAAAGAAAAAAAAAAAAAAAAAAGCAAACACAGGGGTCAAAGACTGTGAATATAAGAGCTATGGTAGTTTTGTGACATTTCTATACAAAGCCCAAAAGTATAAATGTAGATAAGAACAGCCATGCTAATCTTCAATATTTCTGTTTTTATCTTGCATATTTCTATTCTTATCTTGTATACATTCAGGCAAATAGTGTCGCAAGCAAATATTTTACCTCCTTTGAATTCACAAGTGCTCTTTCTTCCCCCTTACATATTGTCAGGAGTAAAAACAAACAAAGCAGCTTGCTTTTTTCAACCTATGTGCGTGAGTGTGATTAAAATATGCCATATTTTCTGAATACTTCAGAGGCTTTCCCTAGCTTTGCCTTGTCTTTGAGTCTTTGGATAATAAAGGGAAACTGCACCAACAAATAACCTGAGAATTAATTTCCTGTACTGCAGGAGATGCAGCGGGCTGTTGGGGGTCAGAGTTGTTTATCCTTAAAAGTGAGGTTCCATTTGGCTTTTTGTCCCTTGACAACTCATCTTTGACAGATGTCAAGGGAATGTAAATAAAACAAGGACTTGTTGGAGTCTCAGTGTCCATATTTGGTGCCTGCAGGACTTGTGCAAGTCTATTTTTAATTAATGAAAAATGAGTACAAATTTCTTGCACTTAATTTTGTTACAGTGTGGTGAACCCGTGCCACTCACTACAGCACTTTGGAAGGGCTGTCAGCTTGAAGATTGCGAAAGGTGATCTCTGGGGAAAAAAATGGGAAGAGCAAGCAAAAAAACCCTACAGGAGGCAGAATTGATAAGGTGGCTTTAGCTACTAAGTGCCCTGGAATTCCAAAGGTCCAAGGGAGAAGAGATGTGGGACAACCCACACTGAGCCTGGTCAACTGTTGGGCACACCATGTGTTGTTCTGCAAATAGTCAACCCACTATTGGTTATTGGCAGAGAGCATGATGTGCAAAACCACATAATCTGTTTGATTTGTAGGCATGATGAATCAAACTGCTAAGATGCTTGTTCTGTGAATACGACTGCATCCATGACCTCATTACCTCAGAGGCAGCACAAATGAAAATTCCCTCTTTAATCCTGCCATTCATACTCCAGCCTTTCCAAATCTGGTGGGGCCATCACTAGGTTGACTCTTCAAGTTGTAACTGAGGTGTTTCTGATGCTTCCCCTTAAAAATGCCACTCTTCAAATTGCTGCAGAGAAATTGGTCCATCAGGGAGATGCATAAAAGCTCATGATGAAATATCTCTGATAGAGGAGATATTGTTCGCCTTACTTTGTGAGGGGATAAAGCCACCTTATTTAATTACATTATGTTGCAGCTCAGCTCCTCATGATCAAAAGGCACTGTAGTAAGCACAGAAATCTGACAATATAATAGTGCCTTTTATTTGCAGTATAAATACTAGAGATGACCCAGAGACACAGTAACAGAACAACAACAGAAAGATCCTCTTACCCAAAGCTGCAGTTCCAGCTGAAAGCAGGATTTTTGTTACAGTATTTTATAATACCACTGATGGAATTGTATGTTGCTGGGGTAGATTTCGACAAGGAAGAATTGTTTTTATAAGGCAGTGCTAGTATCCAACTATCTCAGAAGTGTTGGTATTTGATATGCTATGAGAAAAGGGTCTGAGAAAGGACGCCAAGAGTTTGCTCTCCTACTTGATGTTTGGTAAAATCTTCTTGGACTAAGAAATGATGCATCACTGGAGTACAGTGAGGTCAGGGGGATCGAGACAACACACCACTAGAACATCTCATTCTAGAATGTTCTAGAAGCATCCGTAATGTATATGGATTCTGCGACAGTGACTATTAATGTGAAAAACTGTTTCTTGGAGGCAGAAAGTTTATGCAACCTAGAACATGTTTTTCAGAGTCTGCTGGGCTGGACAAAATAGAATTAGGACACTTGCAAAGGCACTCCAAATACTATCAACAAGATAAGCAAAGGCTATCAGCAAGATTTGGGTTCAGAGTCTGGATTAGGATTAGAATAAACATGTTGTATAAACAAATATATGGAAATAAATTCCCTGCATACACCCCAAATATATTTCCTACACACACTCACATAATTCTTACCCCCCAAGATCAACCTATCTAATGGAATGTTGTCATTTTCTAGTTGGAAAAAAAATCTAAGTTGAACCCTGTCTTGATGCTGTTTTTCCTGGAATAAATGAAATAGAAATTCATCTTTGGCTACTTCACAGTACAACAACTGTCTTTCAGTATTCTTATTTTTT